AAACCAAGAGGGCTGCATTTAGCTGAATATGCATACATTATTAGAGTGCTGCTGGGGCCAATTCATACATCATACAGGATCCAGCACACTCGCTCATTTACTAAACAGCAACCTTAAAGCTCACAGAATAAAAATAAATATAAAGCTTTTATATTCTGTGAGGTTTGAAGTTGCTGTTTAGTGAATGAGTACATGTGCTGAATCGTATATGTTGTATGAATCAAGCTTGACAAAGACCCATCTGAACGTGGAAACGTTGCTCTGTTTTTAATATGCGCTAATGTTCATTAAACCAGTCCGTCATCCTTGAGTTGCAGGACGATTTCTGCTTTCTACTGGTGGATTGCGGTCTGCAAGTGTCAGCTCTTCTAGTTTAACATAACAATCAGTGATTCATGTGACGGCTTGGATCAGCCATTTGAAACCAGAACCACTTCAACCATTTTGGCATTGACCAACCATTGAGAGTGGGGCGATGCTGGAGGGGAGGACTTGCCCGCTAGATTGGGCCAACTAATAGAATGCATTTAGAGCTTATTCCATTCCAGGGCCTTTGTGAACAGGTATATAATGTAGGTCGTGGCTCAGCGTAACTCCTTATACTACCCTCTCTTTCAATGCTATTCCTTAACCCTAACGTTCACCATAATCTAAACTGCTCACATGATTCCCCAATCCCACCTTCCTATCCTATACATTAACCTTAAATCATCATCCAACATTATCCAACATTAACTATGATAACCCTATATTACTGCACAGTATGTATTGATCAGTTTGTCTGCGCATAGCCAAGCTGCGTTCAAAACAAACACAATCGCACTCACCACAATCAGACTGACTGACACGCCTTCGGCCACAGCCATACGATGCTGGAGCAGTATAACATTGCGTATGTCGTGGGAATCCATAACTAGGAGCACGAAAACTACTACAATTACAAAACAAGCCGTTAAAAAGGAAAAGGTAAGAAGAACTAAGAAACATTTATCGCCCTTACCCGATTAGAAAAAAAGTTCAGAGCATGTCGATTTATAACACTAGAAATGATGAGAGGTGTTCGAAAGCTTTCAGCCCATCAGAAATAATAAAAAGCAGGAGAAAGCGTATAAAGAAAAAAAAATTACGCTAATCAGATTTCTCGTTTTCACTGTAAAAGGAATAACAACCGTAAGAATTACTTTCCCTGAAAAGGTTTTCTTTTTACATCAGGTTAAATGCCTGAAAATTGGATAGAGCTTTTTTTCCCCTCAGAATGTTTAGGTCATAAAATAGAGGATAAAAAAAAAAAGAAAATAAAAATAAATGTGAATTTTGATATTCTTTAACTCGCTCAACACTGAAAATTCTACAACTGGAGTTTGGCGTCTTCTAGGGTGTTCTGTCGGAGGGTGGATTATTAACCCTTCTCACGGCCGTCGATTCTCCTAATCACTTTACTAAAGCAGAAAGATCCGGTTGTAGACATGAGATGATTCAGTTAACTAAGCCACAAAGTCTGATCCAGTTTATTCTGTTTCAAACTGGTTGATGTTTCGCCTTTAGGGAATTCCATTAAATAAAAGATTTAATTAAATAGAGACTTTATGTTTGGTGTTTGGAAAGGTGGGTTAATCCGCTTTCATCAGCCGTTATCTAAAGCCTACTTTGGTTACCTGGTCTTGTCTTGCTGCCTTGTGGGTCAAGACGAGGTTTAGGAGGACATGCGAGTGGTGGGGAGATAAGGGGTTTTTATATCATCTCCCGACCTTCGGGGGAGAGTGTGTGAGTTTGTGCCAGATTAAATATGCGCTGTCCCTGGTCTGTGTTTGAGCCGCAGACTTCATCTGAACATGATTAAACAGCCATTATGCCCACTCACTAAGAAAATTGAGATTTACAGACTTCCGACTCTCCATTTAAATGCAAATGAAAAGTTTTAGCCTGGAACCACAGGAAAAAAAGACAGAGTATTAAAGACAAAGCAGTGCTATAAAGGTCATTGGACCACTGGCGCGATCACTGCGCCATACTGTCAAATCCTCTTAATTCCGAGACACTCTGCACACATTACCTGCAAGACTCACACAGGCACTCCAAAAACAATCCCGGATTTGGGATGTTGAGCGGCAGATGGAAGTCTATCAAAATGGATTTTTAAATGTCTGAGCGCAAATTATCTTTTTTTTTTTTTTCGGGTCGGTAAGCCCGTTTGGATGTAAAGCAGTTAAATCTGTTACACGATGTAACAACAAGAAATTAACCAAGTGATGAGAAAACTGATGTTTAATGCATGCACTTAGTTGTTACATTGGTTTGTTTAAAGGATTCATTTAAGAAAGATTTTCTACATTTCAACTGTGAAAAATAAAACGTGGAGAGATTACAACTGAGAAAATCAGACTCTGCTGGGGAAAAAAATTAGATGCAATAAAAGAAATGTCAAATATATACAAAAAAAAAAATAGTTACATGGCATCTTTAATTCTAAATCTGTGAAACGTCCTTCCCGAAAATCTGAGGGCTTTGCACCATAACCACTTCAATACGCTGTTGTGGTCACTGTCCACAGTGTGTCCTTACTATGTTTTAGATTAATTTATGAACAATTCAGTATTTCATTTCCAAATCTCTGCCGAATGATACATAGTTTCATGGTGGATAGTGTCCCATGTCTACCTAATTGACCTCCTCCAACAAAAAATAAGAAAGGAACATTTATTTGAAACAACGGATGCAAAGCAACACAAAAGTTAGGACAAAACAGCAACTTGTAAAATTCTCTCCTGAGATACGTAAAAATTATAAATATGTAATCTGTTGATAATTTGCAAAACATGAGAGATAATATGATAGCACTAATAAATTCAATTCTTATGCTGGTCTAATGCCCTGATGTAGTAAGATGCCTGGCTAAAACGTACCTTGTGCTTATTAAAAGGGCATTGAAACCTTACAATAAGGCTATTTATAAATAGATTTTCTGCCACCTTCTCCCCCAGCCGATGGTGTTACTTTGCGTTCAGTCTTCGAGGACCCTTCGCCATACTTTTACAAAATTTCGGCTTGTTTTCAGAATAAAGTATGAATGAATTAGACGGATATCGAAACATATTTCTGATACATTCTATCAGAAACGTAAGATAAATATTTGAAAATGTTTTACAAGTCTTTTACATTGAGACGGATGTTCCAGTCTCCTTGAGTTCTGTAAGCCACGGAAATTCCATAATCGAACAAGCAGAATTCTCCTAAAACTCTGATCTTTGCATCTTCCCATTTCTCCGGGAGGACGCTTGTGATGTATATGGAATGTGCGTTTTCAAATCCCTCAAACTGCTCCCCGTAGCATTCTTCAAAGAGTCTTCTTTTTCCAAATGCATGTTTTATTATAAGTGTTAAGAATAAATCCTAGTTATTTGCACAATGTGTCAGAGAAAAGTTAGAATTAATTTGTTTCATTTGCAGGTGTCAGCTACTTCACGTTCTGCCGAGACTACAAAAAGAATTATATATATATATATATATATATATATATATCCTATACAATTAAGAACTCAATCATCTGTTCTGGCAAAAATGAAGAATATAGCAACATCCACAAAAAAATGCATAACACAGATCTTTCGCAAAGTCGTATATTTTTATTTCTCTTGCTTGCAAAGTCTATTTTTTTTAACAAAGTACATTGTTACTTAGTTTTGAGAACTAAGACTGCCCGTTACACACTCAATATATCTGCGTTGTTGCATTTGTTTGAGTAGATTGTTTCAGTGGTTAAGATGAATTCATTTGCACACGCCGTTTGAATACAAATTGCCTGGGAAATATTTACCAAAACACCAAATTCTAGTGAGTTGAAAACTGAATCTCAAAATGTTGGTGAAAATACCATTTTAAATCTTACAAGGTTGTTTAAAATCCCCTATCTTAGTAAACAAATATGGGGATACAGTTATACAATAAGTAAATTTCTACTTTCCTGCGGTCACTAGCAAAGAGGCTCTTCCCTGTGTCCCACTCCAGGAGCCTCTTTAGAAGTGATCACATGAAACCATAAGACTGAGAGCAATTAAACTAGTAAGTATTGCAGTTAGCATGTTAATCTCCCATGTTTAATTAGTGTGGGACTCACTGATATTGGGGTACTGAGACATAGTGGTGGGCTTAACCTGGTATGGACATATGGTGGAGCCAAATCCCCATATTTGTTTGTCAAGGTAGGTGATAAACGTGTCAGAATTAAACCGGTGTGCATGCTGTTCCCTTATCTGTATTTTACTTAGTAGCTTGAATCACTCATCTGTACATTAACTCTGCTGACTGCCTTATAAATGCAATTTTATAGGTTATTCTGGGAGGTAGCCTTTATATTACAAAATCTGCAATTTCAATGTCTTTGTAGAATCCCTTTTCCTAAGATTTAATTTGGCTTCTTCAGTCGAGTCTATGAGTTAGTGAATAGTCTTTTGTGACGTTTGTATTTCAAATAGGTAATCATGCTTGTCAGCAAGGCATTGATAACATTTCAAGGACAATGAAGAGTCACAGTAACCCAATAAATGATTTGTTAACAGATCAATTATTCTCTGAATGAAGCTGCAAACACTCCCTCGGTAGCACAAAATGCAATTTAAAAAGCCCTATGAAACTGCAAACTCTGGGGCGAAGTGAGTTCCCATAGCAGCATTTTTTGAAAAGGAAAAAAAAAAAGAGACACACATCCTATTCAAGCTATTGTAAAGAGGACATTAAATTAATTCTAATAAATCTGAGCAGCAAATGCCGTATCCTCAGTAAATGTAGAGAAAATTACACTTTATATGAATAGATAAGAACATTTATAGATTGTAATAAGTTATTAAAGTTGATCTATAGTTGCTGCCAAACAGGATACACCCAGTCACTGTATGATTAATGTAAATATCATCTCCACTATTTAGAGATTCTAGGCCAATGAGATCATTAGCTTTAATAAAAACAGAAGTGTTGTAATAAGGGGATCAGAGTTGTGATTATTGGTTTAAAGTTATGATGGAGTTGGGGGCTATAATGAAGGCAACAAGATTGTCATAAGGAATTGAGGTTTGATACATTTGGGGGTCTGTGACGAAGTTGGAGGCTGTAGTGAAAGGATTGAGGCTGTGATGTAGTTGGAGGCTGTAATGGAAGGATTGAGGCTGTGATGTAGTTGGAGGCTGTAATGAAAGGAGTGAGGCTGTGATGGAGTTGGAGGCTGTAATGAAATGATTGAGGCTGTGATGTAGTTGGAGGCTGTAATGAAATGATTGAGGCTGTGATGTAGTTGGAGGCTGTAATGAAAGGATTGAGGCTGTGATGTAGTTGGAGGCTGTAATGAAAGGATTGAGGCTGTGATGTAGTTGGAGGCTGTAATGAAAGGAGTGAGGCTGTGATGTAGTTGGAGGCTGTAATGAAATGATTGACACAGTGAGTATGATGTTTCTTCACCTGGCTGAAAGTGATTTTAGTTGCAGTCCAAAGCCTGTGACTGTCCCAGCATTGCGGTATGGGATAGAAAGTTCTTATAAAAATAGACATTTCCGTTTGCTTGCAATCTGTAACAATAAAATGAAATTAACCACGTTTGTATGACACACTCTATGAATAAACACTTTGCCGAAGATCACGTGCCTGACTTTTGGGAACAATTATCACATAGATGCTCAGACACGACTGATCCATAAAGGGTTAAAGTGAGTAATATCATATTCTAATATATATTATTAGTATTAATAACGTTCTCGCGCAGTCACTCTGCTTTGCTATAAATAGCAGATGTTGTCAATAATCCGTGCCATCGCTGGACTTCATGCAGCAACCCAGTTGCCCCCTTCCAAAACTGCTCAGCTTGTCGGGGACATCAATTAAAGCTACGCTCTCATCGGCTTTTGAAGACCTGGCGATTAATAATGCAGGGGTCTACAGGGCAGGAATCTACTCCGATTAGTTCATTATTGATGAGAAACGACACCTCCTCTGCTGACAATCTTCTCGAAAGATATGATTAGCTGGTTAAAAATTCATCATTGTTCTAGGGGGCTAATGCAGTATCCAGCCCCTTCCCCACCAGGAACCATGTTTAGCGTGCTCAATAGTTTCAGGCAGGGTTTGCATGACACTTTGAAGGCACAATTACATTCAATTAGAATCAGAACAGCAACCCATCATGGCTCGGCACACGATGAAGAGGTGGGCCAGGCAGGAAGCAGTGCAGGTTCAGGCTATTCCCTCCGCACTTTGAATAACGTTATACAGATCAGGGCACGAGGCAAGCAGGAGGACAACCCAGTGAGTAACACGAATCCATATATGTTGTTTGGCAGTGCCTCCCAATGCACATGAACTTATTAATTCTATAAAGAGATGATCCTGATGTTGGATTTCGTAAGGAGGTAAAACCTGAAACTTAACGGTCTGTTTATAGATGTTCAAACCTAAGAAGATTAATTAATAGGCAATTAAAAACCTCGCTTCCAATCAAAAGTCGTTCTGCGTATCAGCAAAAATGTTACTGTCCGTTTTAAGCAAGGAGGAATGGAGGGAACACTTTTATTGGCTGGAGCAATACAGCCATGGTTCCTTCTGCAATATAGCGCATGGTGAGGGCAGGACAATTTATTACTGCCCACTCTCCGCTGATCGCTTGACTAGTTTGTTTTGTTGCCCATTTTGTTATTTTATTCTGTTCCTTTTTATCACATTTTAGGAGCTAATTCTAAACTACGCAGAGAAGATACAGGGCCCGATCCGATGTCCAATCTGTTATTTATTCAATGCTATTTACTAATTAGCACACGAATATTAATTTAAGATGACAACACCGGTAAGTAAAAATGTTAAAGCACTTGCCTTTAAATTACACACATTGTAAAGGAAATATTCATTGGAAAATTCAATTCATATTTTGGTTGCTAGATTACTATCAATAACCTCTTAAACGTGGAATTTTACCATCATCGTGAAGATTTATCCCAAATCCAGATTAAGAGAGAGTGAGACCAATTTCCGAGGAAATTAAAGTAACTATACATCCATAAAAATAAAAGCTAAGACAAACAAACAAACTCATTTTGTCTGATTTCTTGTTCATTCATGCATTGGCAGGTAACTGCAATTGCCACTACAACCATTAACCTTTATAGTTCTTTATAGCATTTCTGGATTTTATAGAGACGAGTGCAGGTTTTTTTTTACTTTTTCAGTTTTTTTTTTTACTTGTTACTTATTTGTTTTCCTACTACAGTGTAGCGTGGGTAGTTTCGAGCCCTGTACATATATAAATCATTTTGTCAGCAAAGAGATTTCGATCTATTGCTCTTTTTGGTTTTGTTACTTTTTGTTAGGGCGCAATGATAAAATGGATTTGACCAAAACTACTCTTGCGTCCAAACTAATCTAACTTCAAACGCCGATACATGGCTTCGGGCTCCTCCCCTCGCTTGTTCTGCCTGACACGCGATTCTCAGATGCAATGATGGGTCACACACAGCTCCGAGATGCCTTCAAACGCACTGTACCAGAGCTTGTTATTGAGAAAAAATACTACTTCCATGAAAACTGACCTAGAAAAACTGGTTTAAAAGTATACAGGCTTTGAAAAGAAGTCTTTACTAAAAATAAGTCTCCCATATTGGCTTCCACTCCTTTCCTGTCCGCAAGAGACATCAAACATTCCCACCTAGCAGTTTTAAGCAGTCTGGAGAACATATTGCAAACCCCTGAAAGAAAAGTCTATAATAGAAACAAAATGCTTGGAATCTTACACAAAGGAGTGTAACTAGTGATTGAACTGATAACAGCGATCTTTACAGCACTCTCACAATTCCCAATCCAGAGAATACGTTGTGATCCTTATTATGTTTCTGGTCTTTGGGATTGTGATTGTGAGAGAGAAATGATCCACACGAAGACCACAGTTCTTCAAATGAAATGGAAGATAAAACATGTTCTCAGTAAATTGTAAGCTTGTTCCTGCAAGTTAAACTTGTTGTAATTACTTGAATGTCTTGTCCACCCAGAACTGCGCAGTGTGCCTGTGCTTTATAAAAAATAATCACAATGGTACGTTTAAGGTGAATGATATTTACCATGTCTCAATAGTGGGAGAGTGAAGGCTACAAGTGGCTGTGAGAGATGGAACCACAGCAACAAGGGAGGTAACATTGAAGTGCTTTCAAATACTTGTTAGCGCTATATAAATAATAATAATAATTAAAGAAGAATAATTAAATAATAATAATAATAATTAAAGAAGAATAATTAAATAATAATTAAAGAATATACCACGAATGGGCCCCATGACATGGATCTTTTGATCTTACCTGGAATTTCTGCTCCATGTACAGTCCATGCTCGGTGTAATGAAGCAAAATATAGATATAAATCTGTTCTTAAATTAATACATTAGCCTCCATCCCTAAAGTCTGTGTGGCTGGCAGAGGTTTCTGTGAGTTGTAAAGATAACAGACAGGAGGTGATCAGCACTTAAGATTATATATACATACGATACAGATGATATTCTTAGTATAGGAATCTATAAGTACAAAGCAAGACACAGATTATGGTGCAGGACAGTCAATGTTTGTGAAGGGAGTACAAATGGGCAGAAGTGCACACTCACACATTTTAGAGCTGTTTCAGCTCTATTATGAAGGCCTGGACGGAATAATACCTGTCTATGGATATAAGTGGAGGGTCTTTGGAACTTGTTTTCAGGATGGAGTAGGTATATGTGTTTTGAGAAAGCATTTGGTGAAATGCGTTAAAGGACCACTATAGTCACCCAGACCACTTCAGCTCAATGAAGTGGTGCCAGGTCCCCCAGGTTTTAACCCTGCAGATGTAAACATAGCAGTTTCAGAGACACTGCTATGTTTACTCTGCAGAGTTAATCCAGCCTCTAGTGGCTGTCTCACTGACAGCCGATAGAGGTGCTTCTGCGATTCGCACGGTGAAAATCACAATGAGAAGACGCTGGACGCTGGACGTCCATAGGAAAGCATTGAAAGCACTCGGGAGCTGACGTGGGATGGGGAGGAGAGGTCACCAGTGCCGAGGGAGCCCGGCGCTGGATTAAGGTAAGTGGCTGAAGGGGTTTTAACCCCTTCAGCCCAACGGGAGAGGGACCCTGAGGGTGGGGGGACCTAAGGATTATATAGTGTCAGGAAAATTAGTTTGTTTTCCTGACACTATAGTGGTCCTTTAAGTGAGGGCTTATTTTATCCACAGTTTTTTTAATTTGTTTTTACTTATAGAGCTGTTGTTTCCAGCTTTTTATTTAATAAACCTACTATTTTATACATCATTACCTGTGGAGTACATCTTTCATACAGCCCTCATCATCCTTCTGGTACCAGCATATATCCCTAGGTGGGGATTGTTCCAAGTCAAGTTCTTCACACCAGAGCAGGACATTGCTCTGGGTGATGTAAGTAGGATATTTTCCTCCATCAATACCAGTTGTTTGTATATACTATACCAATGGATTTCCTATTTTGTCTTTTTTTCACATATCTGCTCCAAAGACCCTCCACTTATATCCATAGACGGGGATTATTCCACGACACCTTCATAATAGAGCTGAAACAGCTCTAAAACGTGTGAGTGTGCACTTCTGCCCATTTGTACTCCCTTCACAAACACCTACTATACTGCACCATAATCTGTGTCTTGCTTCGTACATATAGATTCCTATACTAAGAATATCATCTGTATTGTATGTATATATAATCTTAAGCGCTGATCATCTCCCGTCAGTTATGTTTACTATCCACTTTACAAGGGTGGAGAGAACCAATTGTTGGCGATTTGATGCTAATTATAGATATTGAGCACTTGTACTCACCAGTTTTTCCATATTCTGAGAGTTGTAGTGCAGTAAAAGCAATGGGTCTGTGTTTTGTTAAATCTGGTTTCTCTGTCGGTTGCTGCTCAGAATTCTGATAATCCCTTAGAACTATTTGGAAGGCAGGTTCTCTGGGTAATTGCTGCCTCTTGAGTTTAGTTCCACTTAGCTAACCAAACCAGGAAGTTACAGGACCTGTGTCTGATTGACAGTCAGGGGGTTGTAACAAGGTTCATTTATAAAAGTGACAATGTCGATTGAAATCTGCACTTTTTGTGAAATAAAAAAAAAGGACATCCTATTCACACATAAAGCACTACAGCAGGAATAAGTGCATTAAGAGTCTTGAGTTTTCCAATAGGTATAAAGCGATGTACATTGCTGTATCTAAAGAGAGCTAATACAGGGCTCAATAGTCAAGATTCACTTTCATTATAAAGAAAGTAACTTTTTTCTCTAAAAAGAAGAACTATCAGAATTGCAATTTAGTTAATGCAAGCAATTAAAAGGTAAGTATTAGTGCCTTAAGAAAATTCTACACAATTAAACATATTTTGGTTTTCATCAAAGGCTTTTCTA